GCCCGGGTCATCTCCCTATTCCATAGGGTGACCTGAGCTTCGACAGGAGCGCCGACCATATCAGACGGATAATCCCCCAGAGCATTCAGGAATCCATCTGGATCCATTAGACTCCGAGGGCGGATCATCTTAATAGATCCCCCACCCTTGCAGAGGGAAGAAGAAGCTAATAGACTAAACTTGACCAGGAAGTGGTCTGACCATGACAATGGGGTCACAACCAACCCCTCCACATCCAAACCACCATCTTCCAGTCCCGTTGAGAAAACCAGGTCCAAGGTATGGCCCTTCTCATGCGTTGGGCTGATGACACATTGAGACAGCCCCATGGTTGTCATGGTGGCCATGAAGTCCTGAGCCGCCCCAGTCAAGGGAGCCTCGGCGTGAATGTTGAGGTCCCCCAGCACCAACAGCCTGGGAGTCCTCAACACCAGGTCCGAGACTACCTCCGTCAGCTCAGGCAGGGAGACTGGTGGTACGCAGCAGGGTGGGCGGTACACCAACAGAATCCCTAATCTGTCTCCTAACCTGTCTCCCGAGCCCAACACACAATACAGGCCCTCGAGACCTCCTCTCAAAGGGATAGGAAGCCTGGTCAAGGAGATAGAACTCCTATAGACTATAGCAACTCCCCCTCCCCCACCCTCCGAGTGACCTTTGAGGAATTTGAGGAAGAAGAATTAAGATCCTTTCATGTATCACCAATGATTGCAGTTTCATGGTCCTCCCACCCTAAATGGTTAAAAGGTACACTGAGCTGAAAAGTTTGTTTCACGCTTCTCTTTTTCTGAAGACCTCCAAGAAAGCTCACCATGACTCCTGTCTGTCATTCACTCATGGGACAAGGACCTTGCGTGAAACATACAAGCAAGAGTATGTCTGTGATCCGAGTAGCCATCCAGGCTTCATATTGATTAGGTAAAAAGTAAAGGTTCCCCTTGGCAATTTGTCCAGTCATGTCCGAATCTAGGGGATGGGGCTCATCTCTGTTTCCAACCCATAGAGCTAGCGTTTGTCCAAAGACAATCTTGTGTGGTCCCGTGGCCAGCACAACTAGACATGGAACGCTGTTACCTTCCCACTGTGGTGGTACCTATTAATCTACTTGCATTTGCATGCTTTTGAATTGCTAGGTTGGCAGGAGCTGGGACTAGCGATGGTAGCTCACTCCGTCGCGTGGATTCGATCTTACTACTGCAGGTCTTCTGACCTTGCAGCATGGAGGCTTCTGCGCAGTACCATCGCGTCCCTGCTAACAAACAAATGGATCATTGTATACTAACACTAATCGCACATAACATGTGTTTCAGAATTACAACTGGTAAATGAAGAACATATGTAGGATTATTACCAGGTTTGGTAAATTCCTTTAACTGCAAGCTCTGATGACAAGATAAACTTAATGACCAGATACAGTGGTGCCTTGCCAGTGGTGGGATTCAAATAAATTAACAACAGGTTCTATGTCCTAATGATAAATAGATAGATAAATAAATAAATAAATAAATAAATACATACATACATACATACATACATACATACATACATAC